ACAATATCGTACTTACGTAATAAATCCTATTAATTATTATTATGTACAAGTATATATATACTGATCTGGCTATTGATTAAAATGTTTTTTTTTTATTAATGAAAATAATAATTTACAATAGCTTGCTGTTATTAATAAAAATAATAATTTACAATGATTGCCTTACAAATTTTAAATAACATCATAATAAGGACAGTCTTTCAATTTTATTCTATACTTTATCAATGACAAATTTCTTTACAAATACGTATGTATAGTTTTATAAAACCGTCAGATATATTTGTGCTAAGACTTTACAAATACGTGTTCGAAAAAGTTTAACTATTACAAACAATTCACACTTATTCAAATACTACAATATATTAACATATTAATCTAATTAAAAATTAATATATATATACATGTATATCTAAAATTATATGACATATTATTAACAGAGGTAAAAGAATTCATATAACACACATTACTGTAATCGATCTACAAAACATTACAGCACGTTATTAAAGTGAAACTCAAAGTTTCATTTTTCATTTCCCACACTACGTAGCTGAAGTCACGCAGTGTGACTCAATTTTTAATGAAAGCCAGCAATGTACTTTAAATAATATGTATTCAAAATAACAGGTGCAGTACGAAAGAGACAATCTAGTCTCATAACTTTACGTGCTGTGGGTTATGAAATATGTTATATAGAGCTGTTAATACACAAAGTGCTAATTTTCTATATATTTATTAGGACTTTTTTAAACTAATCATGAAGAAATTTTCAGCATAGATAATATATAAATCAATTTCACATTTGATTGTGATAATTCAAAATATAATTGGTTTTCATTATACGATGACAAGTTTTGGACGAAACGAAATTTTAATATACAAGTAGTTTGATGTATTATAGAACATTTATTGACAACACATGACACCGTGAGCGCATTTTGCCGGCATCCAGAGCGGTACGCAAGACAATTAAGAAATCGATGGCGGTAGGAGATAAAAAGACCAGACCAACTGACAGACACTCACATTTCGTCTGCCCGTGATCACGGTTGCGGAAAAGTAGCCGAAACGTCGGGAGTATGTAGTTTTTTAAAATAAAACGCGAAGTAAAATCCGAAAATATTAGTTTCATTTAAATGTGTACTTGCGAAAATCTTAGATCTCATAACATTTATACTATTTTTCAAAAATTAGAGTATTTTTTTATAATATTAACAGCTTTATAAAATACTTGACCGTTCAACGAACTCCTCACTGCGCTAATCTGACCACTGGATTGCAATTTATTAACAGGACATGTGCACGCTATGTTACTTTTATTCGGTACTGATATATGGGTGAAATGACACACTCGTTATGAATGAACAAATGCCACTTCTTTATGTATGACATAGTTTGAAAACAACCTTCCTGCTTTAATTAAATAAATATAATAAATTTTGAAGGCTATTAACAATTGTCACTGGAAACGTAGCTCTATAAGTTTTATACAAAAAAAATCGACGAGATTTAGATTTAATTCGCTTATATTTAATATTATCAATTCTCTGTTGAATAGTCAAAGCAAATTTTGAAGGAACCCCCTTAAAATAATCTTCCAGTATAGACTAATAAACTACTTTCGTAAAACTTAATATATAACACATGATAATGAAAATTTAACCGTAGATACTTTACTAGAATATTTCAGCACTATCTCTATACATTAAGCACAGTTTGAAATTGATTATACAATGCTTGCTATTTATCTAATCACACCAAATAAATGTTCTTTAAACACTTCAATGTACGACAATGTTTTTAAGTATATTATAGTTGAACTCTGTAATTGTAACTTGTTTAAATATATATACATATAGTTCATAGTATAGATGTTAATTTCACGGCAATATTGGAAAGCTATCGAATGATTGCCTCCCCCGGTTTAACATATTGTTAAACCCTCAGTTCAGCTGTATTTAATAGTTTGTGAGCTCAATCAGTGCTGATGAAAAAAGATTCGCTGAATACAACTATAAAAACCATCCGTACTATGAAATGCTGACGGCTTAAAATATTAGGGAACTCTCGAAATATTAATAACTCGACAGAAATTATTTTTTGTTTTGTTTAGTTATTTTTATATGGAAACCAACGGATTTATACGCATTTTGCAATAACGATATTAGCATTGTATAATAAACTGAATTAGTAATTAGTAAATTATACTGAAAGAATATTTACATAGCACTTTTGTATCCTCAATTTTTTAAATGAAACAATAATAAGTTCATATAAATAAAACAATAATATAATTTTCAATATCATATAATAATCCAATCAACTAATTGCATCCATACATTTCTAAGCCCATCAATACAGTTCCTAAATCAATCAACAATACATTTGCGTGAACGGTCGCTTGTCGAGTTGTCTGGTCACTACTAACATCACCTGTACCCAGTGACAGATGGCATTAGAATTAAAACGAGACACTTAAATGTATGAAAACACACATTTAATACAATAATATTTTGTACACAAAACAACTTGAGTTATATTTGAAAATCATGATTACTCTAAAATCATATTTAGGAAACAAAGTATAAGTATAGACTTAACTAAGATTTTAAATATTTATTATGTATAATTTAAATTTGGATATTTATTACCTATCCATTAAGTTATGAAATAATTGTATTACGAACAAGCAACAATCTGATAGCTGAACCCGCGCAAACATTATTAATACGCAACGTCAAGTAGAAAATTCATGAAACCAACAATGTATGTTTGAAAACTTTTAAATCTGACGTTAATATAATAATTAGTGTAATATTGCTATAATTAATTACATTGATAGATAATTTAATGAAAAATCTAATTGTATACCTCTTAGATACTTTTTTAAAGTGAAGAACTAATTACGTCACTTGAAATGTGAAATGTATGATTAGGCTTGAGAAAGAAATATAAGTTAATTTTGAGAAGATAGTTCCTAATATTTTCATCTGTCTATCAAAGTCTAAATGAGCTCCAATCATATGTTCCAACAGGGTTATCATGATCGAGCTTATTTATCAATAAAAGAGCTTATTTATCAATTAAAAATGCCATAAAACTTGCATCAATTTTTTTAATTTATATTAAATACTTTGATGAATTTTGTGAAAATATATGTATGTTATTTTATTACAATATAACTATATTTAAATGTATCTATATGTTTTAACTCTTTATACAATTTTGCATATATTCATTTCACATTGTTGTATGAAATCGGACGCGTGAATTATATGATAATGGAAGCATCATATCATAAATTCATTAATACGCATAAACATTGACACCAGCAAATGAGATGTTTTAACAGGATTTAAATCGAATTATTTCCATCCGAGCCTTTTAAAATCACGCTGACATACTCATTTGTATTAACTTTTAAATAAAATTTAAACGAATTTTCCGTTTTAATTTCAATGAAAGAGATTTTCCACGGAATTAATTATTGTGATATCTGACAACGAGACTTACTATAGCCTTTTGTTTTTTGCTATTTTATATATTTATAAAATATATATGACATTTTTGATGATTTTGTGAAATTAATCTTTCTTTAAAGGAAATGTGGTTCACTATGTCTATGACTAATTCAAAACTCTAGTTATTTTTAACGATTTCAATACAAAACATTGTCAATATAATACTAACTTTAAGCGTTTGACTAATACATATGAATAACCATATAAAGACATTACAAGACTGTTTAAATTTCAAGACTAGTAACGCCATCTATGTATGATCTCATAGTTTCACCTCTGCGTTTTTGGTAAGTTTATAATTTTACTGTTATTATTATATTTAATAATTTAAATAAAAAATATATTATATAAAAATAGAAATAATAAAAGTAACAATTATTCTCATACGTTAAGCTGGATTTAGCATATAATAATTTGCAATTTTTAACTTATCATAAAGTTATTCAATAGAAGTATTTTTAATTAATTAATATGGAAATTTAAATCAAAAGAATAATATTTGTAACTGTGTGTGTATATGGTGTTATATAAAATTTGTTTGAAATAAATCTCGTATTTTCCAACGCATCGCTGCCTGAGTTCAATTATTACTCATGCCCTACTTTTGTAACAAAGCGATGCATCGGAGGCTTGATGTTGTCCCGTTTTAATTTGATACATTATATTTGTACTTGGGTTTTTTATTGATTGATATATTATAAAAAAGATCATAACATATTATGTCATGTAGCAATTGGGTAAGAATGAAAATCTAAAAAGTTACTCCCTTAATTTTTTTATGATGTATGCTTTTTTATTATTGCGCAATAATTTAGAACTGTGTTGCTATTTTAAGGAAGATATTATAATGATTTTAACCACTAATTGTATAGGTAATAGATGTATATTTAATATTTATACATTTTCTCTACGTAGAGTCGTTTTCCTGAAAAACATTCGTCATATATCACTAGCTTTGCACTTTGAACGTGACACCAATACTCATACTGCGCATAAAATTATAGAGACGACAAGTAAAAAAAATCTTTATAAATTTTTCAATAAAAATATTAACTCTCTCTAAACGTTAATAATTCTTTTATAACTTCGTTATAAATTAACTTGCACATCGTAAGTCGTATGTCTACAATACACTCGGCGACACTAACCATTTAAAATCCGACACAATTACGAAATCCGGACTATATTTAAAGCATCCATCTAAAAGGCAGTTATCATTTTTATTAGTGGTATCGGTTCTAAACAAAGGTTTCCACTCGCCCTAAACGCCAATAAACCTAAAAACACCTTCGCACAAAACCGAACTGATGGCAAAACCGCGATCATTAAACCGTTTATACTGCGACTACAAACATTACCAAATTACAACGAATAAAACACACGCGTTATCCAGTTTGGTAACAGACCTAGCATTAAAACCAGCTTTACGAACAAAGAGCAGTTAAAGGTGTCACGTTCAGAAGAGTCACAGACGCCAGTCGGTTGTGGAGTGAACTCGGCTCCTCTAACAACCCCGTTGGCTCACATCAAGCGGCCTTACGTCATCTCACCCCATACCAATCCCGCCACCCCATTGGTCGCTTCGCTTTGCCGCGCTTTCTGGTAACCCGAATAAAAACTGCTCACCCTCGCTCCATCCCTCTCAGCATGGGATACAATACCGATATCCGACCGAGAAAGTGTGTTTTTACTTATGTTATCCCCGCAATGATGTAACCAGTTTGAAATGAGACGAGTAATTTAGTGAGTTACTAGACAGAGTGAGAGAGGTGTAGCCGTGTCGCAGTTCATTGTAGTGGTAGAGCGAAGGGAACGTGCTACCGTGCGTTCAACTATTTATAATCAAATAGGTCTGCGTCTGTGTGCGTCTGTTGTTACATTATGCACCGCCGACTCACACATCCACACAGCCGAGCGAGGCAATGATGTGCACGAAGTATTATCCCTTATTACACGATCCGCTTCCGCGCTGGCCGCACGTTCAATAGTTGTCAGTCGACCTCTTTTGTCGTGCGAAGTGCGAACTGTCTTGTTTACATCGGAGAGCTGGTACGATGCATAGTGCGTTAGTTAGCGCGATTGTGTCATCGGCCGAGCACCGTCTGTCCTTAAATCACGTGTGATCCACTGACAATGTTCGCGACTGTGTATTTTATACAACTTTTTGTAAACTTGTGAACTTTCCTGAGGTCTCCCAGTGATCTCGTTAGATAAATAGAACTGTGACATATTTTTGTTAGACTCGGTGTGCCATTATCGTGTGTCAAAGTGAAAAAACTCTAAGGAGAAAAATTCAATTTTAGAAGTAGGATTTTGATATATTTATTGGACTTGAAAATTATTTCGAGAAAGAGAAGTGAGAGATTACTGAAGTCGTCTATAAATAATATTAAAGTTGAAGAATTTATCTGATCGTATATTGAGATAAATATAAATATAATATCAGAAGGAGTTTAAATCCAACAACGCACGATCATTTATGCATACAAAACAAACCGCAATCTGTCCACGTTTCTTTCGTAGAAAAAGGCGTTGTGAGAGACAAAGATGGCTATAGCATTCAACCTGCCTAGCGAGAGAGAGACGGCTGAGGAGAACTTTTCACGTTTGAACCGGCTCCTCGCGGAGTTGTACGAGGTGTTATGCCACATCTTGGTATCACGACAACCTGGCCAAGAAGTCCAGGAGAATCGGCGAGGTGAGTGCCCTCCGGAGCCATATATACCACCTTACCACTTAAGATGCAATTCGACCTACATCGTGAATTTGGTGATGGTTGTCGCCATCCTTAAAGTCTCCCTGACGTCATCACTCTTCAATACGGTCAGATAAAAACGAAGATTGTTTTAGATAAGTATTGTTAACGGTGTCACTGCAAAGCAGTTGTGGACTCTTGTTAAGTAATTTTAAGTCCATAAGCATTTAGTATTTTTTTTTGTCCCTGGATGTTGTGTCAAACTGCACTTAAATTGTAAATGGTGGTACGAATTATAAACGAAAGGATCCCATCCTTCCGTTTATAATTCGATCTTTTTATTATAATATAATTGCGCTTCTCATGAATTTCTGCTTTTTTACATTAAAATTTGAGTGAAGTTCGACAAAACCGCTCCATATTATGAATGATGTAATATTCGATAAGTCAAAATAAATATATCATAATGTTCTCTTGTAGAATTTAAATATTTCTATGGATGTATTATTTCTATGGAAAAAACTGAAAGTGTTTTTTTTTCTGAACAATGATATATTCATTTGTCATCACGAGTAATGTTAAGTTTTGTAATAAGTTACATTTCCATTTGATCTCTTTATTTTGTTTTATCAATTTAAATTAGATGAATTACATTAGTATAATTTATTTCTTAGATTATTCCATTATTTTAGTGAAACCTTAAATAACTTAGATGGATCTCAATTATTATTAAATTTCCAAATATTCATAGTCATATAGATTTTTTTATTCCCTTTTCGATTCGCCAAAAATTAGTTGATATAACCAGTTAAAAGATTCCGAGACTGTAAAGCAGTTGTGAACTATCGAAATGTAAATAAATATTGAATTATCAATTTTTGTTATGTTTTGTTTCAATAAAAAAAATGTTTCCTACATGTATATTAAATTAGATTTTCTTTTTCTATCTTATCTTGTAAATATTGCATTTAACTTTTGTGATGTTTCTTGTAAACTATTATTAAGATAAGCGCATGTAATCGAATATAAACCCGGTTTGTGTTTAAAACATTTATGCCTACAACTTGTGAAATAAATTTATTATTTTTAAAAAAATCACATTTTTCATTACACCTATCTAGACTGATTTTAAATTAGAAAATAAATCATGTTACACTTTCAATTTTATTTAACATAAAAACATAAAGAACACATAATACTTTATACATTTTTTAATAAACTTTAATAGAATAATAGTAAAATATAATAATAAATATCTATATTAAAAACTATTTATTCCTCCGTCGGTCAGTTTAGACTGAAAATAAATTGTTTACGCTAATGATAGCGAGCTTGTTCTAACAAGTTCGACTTTGATGAAATAAACGTACATACAACTAAAAACAAAATTATCAATCAATATTAAGGATATACAGTGTAAACTCCATATAACGACACTCGATTTAACGACAAACTCTCTAAAGCGTCGAAATCATTTGACTTTGGTTGGTTTAGCTTGTCTACCATACAATGATACACTCTATATAGCGTCACAGCCACTCTCAATAACGACAAAATTAAGTAAAAAAAGTACCCTTTAAGTTGCTAAAATTAGTAAAAAATGCGCAGCTGTGTACGTTTTTTTGTCGCTTTGTTATCCTAGCCCGCAATAAACTCCACTGTCGTAATCATGCATACCAAACTTTCTAAGAAATTCGTTCTTCACCAATATGCCTCAATATCGCAAGATATGAATAAAATACGTAAAAAATACAACAACATTACTGGTGCAGCAAAACACGTCAAACAAAAACAACAGACTTTATAACATTCTTTTTTATGTACATAAGTACTAACAGTAGTCTGAAACAAACTTTGTCTTTTTTTAATTCTGATTTTTCTTCCCTCTATTTAACGGCAACTCTCTATAACGCACTAAAATGCACGGTCCCTTCAGTGTCGTTATATAGAGTTTACACTGTATTTAAAATGACCTTTTAATATCAAATATCCTTAATATTATGGATATTATAGTTTATTAACAAAGTGAAATATCTGTATAAATTGAATAAAACGAAATGAAGTCTTTGTTAAACAGGAATAGAACCTTAGAGTAACGAAGTAAGAACTAGTTCAAACTTGAAAATAAATAAACTTGCTCCGATTCGTGCGGCTGTTGGTTCCGGACCAAGTGAGAAATTACAGCGGGTATAAGGACATAAATAAAATAAATATCTTTTGATAAAAAATATTTAAAAACTCTAATAAATTCTTTTAAATTTAATAACATATAGAATTTTATTAAAATTTATATAAAAATTTAATTATTTCGATCGTTGAAGACTGTTCAAAAAGTCAATGCGGTTGGAAAAATCATTTTAAAAAAACAACTAATAATTTTGATACACCATTTTACTAATACTATATTTATATAAAAAACACTTGTACGGAATTAATTATATACATTTTTTACCATCAATAATCACATATAAATTTACGATAAAACAAAATATTTAAAAGTCTTGCTGTGTATAAAACGAGCTAAAACTTAAATTAATGCTAAATCTCGTGACTTAATCTATTCCTAGCATTGGCAATGGACTCCAAACGAGTCGACATTCGAAAGGAAAATCAATGGTAATGCAATGTATCGCGTTGGAAGAAATAGAAAACAGAAACAAGACTACGACTTTATTTAGAAGTACATTTAACATAACTGTGGGAGGAATCAACTAGTGCGAGATATTCAACTAGCCACTGGAACTATTTGAACATTATTTTTCATATTATATACATGTTAATTCAATACTCATATATAAATGCTAATAAGGACAGTTTTGATATCAATTTTATTTGTTTATTCTTATTGGAATACGTATAACAAATTGAGTAAATGTTTGTTTTTAACTTCTGTGTTTGTTCAACTTCATATTATATATTCTTTAAGAAATTTTTATAAAACTATCGAACAAAGTAAAGTTTTAATAGTAAGAGTGAATTAAATCGTAGTAAGTCACGGTTACAGATCGTCCGATTACGATTAAGTGTAAAGAAACGCGCCATTGATCACAAATAGAATGCTTTTTGTTAGGCGACGGTGTTTTAAAAATATTTAAATTGTTATTAAATATTCATTATTAATATTATTTTAGTAATATTTAATATCATAGTAACGTACGTTAATCGTTATATTTATTGTATAATTCATGGAACTTCTAAACTAGTAGTAATTCTAATAAGACTTAATAATTCTTAAATAGGACTTAAAATCTTAAACTCTTCTGAAATACTTGAAAATTATCTATATACAATAAGTATTGTATTTAGACATATTTAATTTACTTCTTCTGCATAACTTAAATTTTAGCTAAATTATAAATTATTACATGCATTTAGATTCTCTAAAAACAAAAGAAAAAAATATATCACATTTTCTTTATATACCATACAGTAATTTCATATATAGGTAAATCTTTTTCCCGTAAAAATTGGTTATTTTGACCAAAATATGTTTATGCAGGCATGAGAAGACGCAATTTCTAAAAATAATAACTGTTGAATATATAAATAATGGAATACGTAAAACTAGTCACGTACACTGCGCTAACTGTAACAGATTTTTTTTCATCGTCTTTTGAAGGGGATAATAATATATGGTACAGGTGTTTAAAACAGGTGCTCATATATTATCCATCTAGGGTAACACGGAGTTTATTTTTTAAAACATTACTTGACAAAAAAATGTGTGCAAAATAATGGAATTAAACATAAATAGTTTCATATTTACCATGTATTCGCTAATTAGTTTTTCTATTTGTAAATCTGATTTATTTTTGTAATATAATCTTCTTCTTCTACCTGGCAATTTCCCAGCTTTAGCCAGGTTCTGCCTTACATGTTGTGAATAGTTTTGGCTAATTGTTTTTGCGACCGCCCGCCTGCCTGACATGAATCCTCTTTGGGAATGCAATTAATCAGTGATGTCTAAATACTTTTTCAGAAAGTACATATGACTCGGAAAAATCACATTGGTACTTGCCAGGGCCAGGATCGAACCCACGCCCTCGTGCATAAGAGGCGGGTCTTTTAACCACTAGGCCACTACTGACTCTATTTTTGCAATATAATATTAGACAAAAAATATACAGACATTGCCGCAGTAAATGTCTAGTTCTTTAAAGAAAATAATTCATTTCGTTTAATCCGCTTTCACTTGCTAAACATTTTTAAAACCTTTGTCATTTAAAACAATATAAAACCAAAGCTTATTACTGTATTTACTCGGTCAAGTATCGACAGGATAGAACATGTTCAAACCTTATCTATACTTAGTTACTAATAATAAGGTGATTTGATCCCAATAAATATCGTTTTTAGTGTAAATAAAG